GTATGTCTCTTCTTAGAACCTGATCTCTAAAACCTTAGTGTTTCTGTTGAAATTTTGGGTGTTGTCGCCTAACTGTTTTCATTATGTGTTGGTATATATACATATCTTGAAGGGATTAAATATACTCAGTGTTAAATAGAATCTGGAACTGGATTTGATAAATTTGTATTATTTTCTTACGGTTTGAATTCCTGTCTCTCTTCAGCACTACCTCTGTGTGTTTATACTGTCTGTGGGAAGTTTGACGTGGCAAGATTTTTTTTGTGTGTAAGCTGTGGAGGAAGTTGTTTCCCCTGGATGCTGTCGCAGCTAAAGGTGTTGGCTGTTGTAGCTGCCTCAAAGTCGAAATCTCTTCTCTTGTATAGATATAAAATAAATCTATGTCTATGCCAGTGTGTAGGTAGTATAGTGCCGACTTACTGTCTTTTGGAGCAACTAAAGCTCACACTGCCACGTCTTTTCTGTTGGGGGCAGGGGAGGGAGAATACAGCTGGTAGCACAAAGCCTCTGTTTAAACATATTTCTTCTCTCTGTGTTTACCTTTAGCTGAGAAATAGAAGACAACTCCCTAAGATTAGCTATCTGAAGCAGTTTAATACTGCAAGTGAGAAATCTTACGCTACATTGAGGAGTGTGGTTTAGAGCGTTGCAGGGGTGATGTGTGAGGAGGGCTAGGCCCTGTACCTAGCTCAAAGTGATTTCTAGCCTCATGTGGAAGATTAATAAAGCTGTTGCCTTTTTTTTTTTTTCCTCTCTCAGAAATGTAAGTTTAATGTGTGAAGCCTAGAGATGGGTTTTCTGATAGGGATAGTTTTTCTCTACTGACATGTGTCAGGGCAGCATGAATTTGTTGTGTTCTTGGAGCTGCGTGTAATTTTGAGGTGTCTTTGTGTGTTTCTGGAGCTTAGTTCCTGATGTACTTTCATCTAGTTTGCATACTCAAAGATGACTACATGGCTCAAGACTGAGAATGTGAAGTATAGGTGGCTGGGAAAGCTATTTCAAAGGAACATTTAACATCTACAAAGCTAATTTATATCATGTATCTTTAGTTCTTTGGAGATGCCCGACCTATGTACTTGGAACTCTATAGGAGTAAGTGCTCGTTCAGGGTTTGGTTCCTCAGCATTTCTCAAAACAGTCTTAATTTTGGCACCAGGAAACTCAGGGGAATATTGGTTTTGTTAAATTCAATATGAAGTAAAAAAATTCTCTCTTAAATGGAAAAGAGAAAGCTAGCTATCAAGGCTGCAAAGTGTACAACTTCACTAGCTTTTCAAATCCCGTGGTGGCAAGGGCATAATATCTGACAACTAGTCATATGAAATACAATCATCTGGTTCAGAAATGCAGAATACTGCAGATTTTCTGGTTCTAAAAAGGATTGCAATTATCAGGATACTCTTTCCTGAAAGTTTCCTAAAAGTTCCTTTTGTTCTGCTTAACATAATCTGACTGCAAGAAAGAAATTACATGGCTTGTGAATGCTCTCATCATTAGGAAACTTTTTCTGAATTGCTTTTAATCAAATTCTGGTTTTGGGGTTTTTTTTTGTTTTTTCTTTCTTTAACAACAACAGAATCAAGATGTGAAAGCCTAGGGGAAGGATGCCTGGTAATAGCAAGGACAAAATATGGTATTGTTGAAGCCATGCTTCCCTCAGAGAGCAGCTTCTCGTTTGTGGAATACCTTGCGCTCAGTTTTGTCACACTGCAGTCCTGTAGTAAAACGGCTGCTCAGGCTTGGGCCAGTAATGCCGAAGACAGATGGAAGTAGGATCTCTCTCTATCCTGTACTTTATTCCCTGTTTCACCAGCACCAGAATCAAGGAATCTTCCCTCACTTGCTTGGAGTGGGGCTGATGTAGGAGGTTTGATGGAAAGCTGGTGCCATGTTCCATACCTTTTCTGAAAAGAGGTGTGCTAGGTCAGAAGGATTTGCTAGAGGAGTTTCATGCTCTGGTCTCTCTGCCTTTCCTGATTTTTCAGTGTGTTCACTGGGATATCTGGTATTTGGGAAGCGAGACTCACAGTGTATTTTTTGGGTGTAGTCAAAGTCTAGGTTTTACCAGTAAAGAGAACAGTTAGGAGAATTTCCTTTTGAGTTTTTCTTCCACCCACACATCCATTGCTTTCACTTTTTCTCTCCATGTGCCTGAGAGAGGTAAATCCCATTCAGATAAGTTCAGTGATTTGTTTAAATTCATGAAGTGTGCAGTAGTGCTGAGGAAACTAATCAGCCAACCAAGCAAGGAATACCACTATTTTCCCCTGACTTTCAGGTCCTTTTTTTGTCCTCAAGTGTGTCTTGTTTCATTTTTGGAAACAGTTCACAGCCTTTTAAAATGGAAAAAGAGTGAAGAGTAGTAGCAGGTGTGACTTTCTCTTTTGCAGATTCTTAAAGAGGACCTGATACCTGGAATAAGAATATTGCCATCATGAGTCAACAAGGTTATGTTGCAGCTCCTCCATATTCCCAGGCTCAGCCAGGAATAGGAGGATGTTCTGCAGGTTTTGGACCACCTAATTCTTCACTTCATTATGGGCATTATGGGGACCCTAACTCCTCCTACTCAGCACCTCAGCCAGGTATGAATTTGGCTTCAAATGTGTTTTTGGAGTCTACTTTTCTATGAAGGCATTTTGCATCTCTTTTTCTTATTTGAGTCCGCACAGAATGCTCAGTTTTGCACTGTTACTGCAACAGGGTCCTGCACTAGCTTTGTCTGTGTTATTGTTGATGCTCAGACGTTGATGTAATATGTGGATACTGGGTATCTGACCAATGTGTGTGAAGTCCATTGTCCAGGAAGCAACAAGCACCAGTGCTTAATGCCACATTATGAGTAATACCTAATACGGACAAACACAAAAGGGGTCATTTTTGGGAATAGAGAAATGTTTCTCAACTCACATGTGTTAGTAGCAAGCAAGCTCGCAGAAGTGGGTTTTATTCTTCACAATAGGACCTTCGTCCTACTGAATTCTTGACCATAAACTTGCCTATGAATATGAGCTGGTGTTCTACTTAAGCTTGCTTACTGAGTGATGTGTTTGGATAGTGCATGATAAGTAGAGCCCATCTGCTTTCTAACCACTCAGGAGACAATTTCTATGAGGAAGGGCACCTTAGGTACAAGCACATTACAGGCAAAGGGGATATTTGCTTTATTTCTACTAGCATAGTCATGCTGCAGATAATATAATTGACAAACATGGCTGACTGCTTTTCGTTCATTTTAACTTATATGTAGCTTCAGATCTTTCAAGAAGTATAGTATATGAGTATATGGTGGCTGAAGCTTAAAAAAAATCATTTGAGAGCACAGAATTTTAAGTCTGTTTTGCTGTATGTAAGTCATGCTGGTCTAGTTTCAGTAAAGTCAAGTGGGCGTGCAAGACTAGTGAATTGGGGCTGTGGAAAATATCCAAAGAGTAAGGTTTCCTCTTCCCTCTGTAATTGTACACATATACATAGTCCAGACAGGGAGTCAGGAAGGTGGATTGTCTCAGTATTTTGCCTGAATTACAGGTGTTACAGGGGAAAATTAGTTAAAATAAAGATGTCTGAAATATCCTGTAAGGCATCTAAAAAAAATGTATTTGTTAAAATTTTTAATAACGCTCAGATTATGATAAATCACATTAAATTATGATGTCACATTTAATTTGACAGGGTGAAGCAGGGTAATGACAGAACTAAGTATCCAAATATATTGAGTTTTTTTAAATACTCTGTGGTGTCCTTGATTTTTGTGTCATCATGACAACAGAAAAAAGTTTTGCCCAGTTTCTCTAAAACTTCTTATGAAAGATAGTAGGAATTGTGTTACCTTAATCCAGTGCTGAATATAGTCAAAAGATAGAACTACTTCTGGTAATTGGTTTATAAGAATACGTGGCAAAAATACAAGTTTTGGTATCAAACATGTTTGATGATAGAGTAATGTAAAGGAAAATAATTAAAGAAATACAGGTTGAAAAGCTGTTTATTCCGTACTCTGTTTACATAAATTATAGTCTTTTCACAGTCACTGTTCTAGATCTGAATGAAGAACCATTTTTAGCATAGGTTTACAGGTTCTACATATGGAGGCGCTTTTTTAAACAAAAAAAGTTCTTCTAAGTTTCCCTTCTGACCGTGATCTCCAAAATCAAAGGGACCTCTTGCTTCTACCTATAAAGATAACTGGGTGACAGGGAATTATCAGTATCCCAAATTGAATTGCCAGGTCTGTTCATTCTTGCTTCTTTATTAGTGTCCATCTTAGGTTCTTTTGTGGGAAAGTTACCAACTACTATTTGCTTCCTTTTTACTATCTGTTCTTTTTTCATGTCTGCTTTTATAGCTGACTAGAAATCTGTCCTTTCTTATCGAATCACAGAATGGCTGAGAAGGGCCCTCTGGAGGGTATCTGGTCCAACCCCCCTGCTCGGGCAGGGCCATCTAGAGCCGGTATTTTTATTTCTGGAGCAGGGCCATACACTCATATTTCTTTGCAATCTAGTGCTTTCTTACAGAGTTTTTACATAAAAGTACTTCTTCTTTTGTAGGTGTGTCAAAATCAACTGTGCCTTTTGGATCGTCAGCACCTGTTGGGCCTCCACCACCTGGTACACATCAATTCAGCCAGACCAACTTCCAGAATGGGCCCAGTACACCAGGGCAACAGCCACATAGGTGACTTTCAAGAATTAATACATGAGATCTAAGCTATTTGACCTCTGTTACCTCTCTTTGTCTGCTTTGCTAACATTTTAGTATGGCATCCCTTTTATCTTTAGCAGTTCTGACTTATTCCAGTTCTGAACTGGATCTTCTAGTTTGATTCCCTGTGTTAAATTGCTAGATCATACAATGTGATCTGTAATCTCATTAAATTCCATTTTACAGCAAGTCAGGTCTCTATCATGTATTGTCTGTTTTATTTTTAATTATTTTTCTTGATCTTGGATTCATTGCTTCAAAGCAGCAGTAAGGAAAGCTGGGGAGGGACTCTTTATCTGGGAGTGTAAAGATAGGATGAGGGTAACGGTTTTAAACTGAAAGAGGGTAGATTTAGATTAGATATAACGAAGTTCTTTCCTGTGAGGGTGGTGAGGCCCTGGCACAGGTTGCCCAGAGCAGCTGTGGCTGCCCCCTCCCTGGCAGTGTTCCAGGCCAGGTTGGACGGGGCTGTGAGCAACCTGGGCTGGGGGAAGGTGTCCCTGCCTATGGCAGGGGGTTTGGAACTAGATGATCTCTAAAGTCCCTTCCCACGCAAACCATTCTGTGATAATTGCTGTTTGATAAAGTAGTTGCTTGTTTGGTTTTTTTTTTTCACTTGCTGATGTCTTAATTCTCCTTTGTCATGAAGTACCGAGAAGTTGTTGTTTTAAAATGAATGGTTGCCAGTGAGTTTTGACTAGAAACTAGTGCATGTCTCCATGTCTCCCAGCCCCCTGTCCTGTTAGGATATCTTTGATTCATTGTTGTGGGAGCACAGCCAAGGCTCTGTAGGGTACTTTAAAGACATTTTATAATGTAGTTTTGTTATACTCTCTCAGAAGAATGACTGCTACTCTTTCGCTTAGGTTTGAGATAAACGCTTCATAGTCAATCTGAAGTGCTGTTGTCCTGCCTCCAGAGCTCACAGGAAGGAGTGAAGGAGACAGGAGTGGGGAAGGGAAAAAATAGGGACAGGTGAATGCCAAAAAAGAAATGCTGGAAAAATGATAGTACAAGGGGATAGCCAAGCTTTATTACATAGTGGTTATATAGCGAGTAGCTGTAAGTGGCTAAAAATACTTAGCTCTTTAATTCTGTCAGACATTAGTTATTTTGCTCACCTCCCAGGAGTGGCGAACTTAGTTTGTGTACATATAGTTTTAGTGAACTTGACACCCTTTAATAAAGTCTTAATCATCTTCTGTACACAAATAGTTATTTGTGTTCAAATAAAGCCATGTGTATGTTTTATTAGGCATCGAAATAGGGAGGGATGTTTGTTGGCTGTGTGTTATCACTAAAGGAGAACCCAAAGAGACTGATGATCAGTTGTAAAAGACAGTGTACTAATGTGTAGGAAGAAGTGCTTGTTGTCCTGAAGATGAAAAAACAAGGTGACCACAGTCAAGTTGACATCGCTGACCCAGCAAAATACTGATTCTCTTTCCTACCTTCCAGTCGTTGCCTTGAGAGCTACACATCTACTGTTTTTCACCTGGTTGTGTTTTATTCCCAAATTGCAAAGAGCTGCTATTCTAGGCCAGGAAACTTCCACATCAAAATTTCAAGGAAATTGAATTCCACTTCTCTTGAAATAGCTAGGCCCCTTCTCAGTTTTAGAAGTGGTCATAGGAAAATCAGTGTATACATCTTCTTGGAGATCTTATAGTTCCAGAGTGAGATAGTTTGGTAGATAATACCTTTTGCCACTTGTGTGTTACCTCTTTCTTTTCTGTAGTTCTTTTTCTTGCATTTATGTTTTTCATATCTGATAATCATGAAGCAGTTTTTCCCTACCTGCATCTTCTTTTTTCTTTGACTACAAGGAACTCCTTAACAATCTCTCACTTCATTTTCCTCTCTTCACAGATTTTTCTCCTAATCTCTACGCATCCCTGGTAGGGAATCTTCTTTTATAAGCATGGAAAGGGAATGGAGTGATGCAATATGTTCAGAAGCTTGTGTTTCTTATTATCACCAATCTGTCCTTGCCATGTCATACTCACTCTATTTCTAACAAGTATGCAAACAAACATATACTGTCTTTTTTTAACAAGTGTGCAATCTTTGTGCTTCATGACTATTTTAATACAAATAAACATGTTCTGAGCAGAATGTGGGCAAACTTGTCTGAGTTTGGCTGTCCTAATATATTCTTTCAGCACCACCCTCAAGAAGGTATGAGATCTTCTAGAATTATGATTGGTTGATGTAATTTTTTGCATAATTGCACTTATTCTTCCTTTAGGTTTCAAGGTCCTCCACCTCCAAGCAATACAGGATCTTCCTATCCTCCTTACAGTCATCAGTCACAACCAGCTTACCCAAATACTGCATCCACTTCATCTGCAACACAACTTGCTAACCAGCTCAACAGCATGCAGATAAATAGCTATGGTAATCAGTTTTATCTCATCTGATTGACTTTCTCTAGCTTAAAGCTATTAAGACTTTAGAAAGTTACAGAATTTATTGAATTTATTTAACAACTTATTGGACTTATTCTGCATAAACAGAAAATTGAGTCTTTGATCACTATCATTTGCTCAAGTTCTTAGATTATTTTTTTTTTAATCACATCCTATTCCTTAAATCAGTATTCTTGGGTTGATTCAGTATTCTTGGATGCTGAACTGATGTTTGATGAACCTTCCACAGAAGTCATATATCAATCATTTCCCAAATTACTTGGTAACTCTGTCAGTAGCAGCCAAGGCATGAGCAATAATATGTAGACAGGATTTAATTTTTCTCAGCTTTTTAGACTTTCTCTCTGTTTTCAAATTATCTGATTCTTTTTTGTCAAAATCTTACAGTTCAGTTTTTCATCTAAATTGGTTTGCATTTATTTTCAGGTTAAAACATCTGAAACATAAACCATTAGGTCAAGTTGTGATCATGTGATTCTTTCATGTAAATTAGTTTCCAACACTAATTTTCTATTTGGTTGTATCTGCTTTTCCTGACTACTTCCTGGTGAAATTTACCATTTCATTTAAAAGGACTGGAATTTAGTTAGCATCTTGTTTTGTTGAGGTGTGTTTAGGGGGATGAATTTTTTAAATAAGAATCACTTTGGTAGTTCATATCTTTGTAAGATATGTGTAAGGGTGAACTTTTCAGTTCAGGCTGCGCTGATACTATATCACTGTTCATACTCTGGCTTTACAAGTTGCTGATTTGACTTAAATGAAACCTGCATAACTACCATGGGTCTGACCCTCTGTTTGTAAAACTGTGTGTGAAAACTTACACCACCTTCACCTTAGAAAAATTAATTTAGGCTCAAATTCAACCTTGATGTACTGAGCTTTAAGTGCACAATTAACAGACCTTTTTATCCAGGATGAAGCGTGGCCCAAGCACCTGTAGAGCACTTCATATATAGGAACTCATTATTCAAAACAATTTTTTTTTTAATTCATGCATTCATTATATGACTTTCAGCAATAATTATGTAAAATATAATGATCTTGCATATCATGTTACTCACTGGAAGGTTGAAATACCCTTCAGACCACTGAACGCAGATTCTTTAAAATTCTGCCTTTGTGTTGGCTTTTGTTCTTCTGATTTTTCCTTAGCTATAACTCTACGTTGGTGTAACTTGACAGAGTACTGAAATTCACACCTTGTAAAGTTACTGGAGTGATGTTTGTTTGTACTAGATGAGAACCTGGGCTTGTGTTTTGCATGTGAAATATTTTTTTTTACTTAATGTGTCTGTCAGATGATGCATTTCAATATATGTATATTAGCACATTGGTCCTTTCTCCAAGCCTAATTTTTATTATTTTTTTAGCTTTCCTGATATTTTTCTGTAGGTCTTTAGAGATAAATTTTACTAAAAAATGTAGGTTTTGTAAAATAGTAAGTATCTACAGATTGTAAGTCTCAAAATAAACCCTATTTCCAGCATCCTCTTAATTGTAATTGGAATCTGGATCTTATAAACAGCAAACTATTTCTCATCACCGTGTACAAAATAATTCCCACATGTTTCATCTTTTAGAATCAAAATCAGAAGATGGTTGTAAACCAGATGAAATGAGTGGATTTATCTTCCATCAAACCTGTCGTGGTGAAATGCAAATAGCAGATTAACAAAAACATGCCACATAAGATAAATTTATTATTAAGCAAAAAGAATGTTGTTTCACATTATGAAATCAAATATTATTTGAAAAGCAAATAGTGATTTATGTGTATTCTAATCAAGAATTGTCAAAGGCTGGCTTCCCTCTTTCTTTCCCTATCCAGCCCAGCTGCAGGATTTTATTGAAAGCAGAGCCAAAAGAAATAAATGTCTGAATTGGTTCAGACTTAAACTATGAGATCAGATTTGTTATGTGAACAGACATTCAGGATCCCCATAATGCAGCATTGTCAGTATGGGATACAGTATTGTCTATATGTTGTAAGTGTATTGAGCAAAAATAGAACACCTTCCACACAGAGTTAGTAAGTTATCTTTTTTGACTTGGCTGACATAGTTTCTTGCTCAGGTCCTGGCACTGCTCCAAGCCCTCGCATGTCTTCTGGGCATCCAGCATCTCTTCAGGGTCCACAATTGATGCCTCCAACCCAGCAGCAAATGTCTTTACCACCTGGATCACAGGTTCCTCCACCTGCAAATACTGTTAATGGTCTTTGTGCTCAACCATCATTGCCTCCTATGGCCAGACAAGATGGGATCCCTGGACCTGTCCCCCCAAATCCTAACTTGCAACAGCTTCCAGGACAGCCTCCCGGACCTGGGTATCATCCTCAGCAAGGTAAAGAAAGATGATTTATTATGTAATTGAATACAAAACTTGCGTGGAGAATCACTGGTGGAACTGCAACTATTTACGGTCGACGTTCTGACTTGGAAAAACGAAAATCTAATCCTCTCTTTGTAGAATGGAAAGATTTGCAGTCAGCCCATACATTCAAGGTAGGCTGTGCTTTTGCTCAAGAGTTTAGCATTCTGTTAAGACTAATGAGAAAAAGGAGGTTAATTTAGATCAGGAACAGAATTATTTGGTTAGTAACGTGTAAAGGCACAACATACTACAGAAAAGAGTTTTACTTATACTCTGTAGGCGTATCAGTTGCTCTCTGTCTTATAGTACTGTCTGTCAAGCAGCTTTCAAAAATGCTTTACTATAGCAGTAAAGAGTTATAACTGCATACAGTTATTTCACTTGATGTAGGTGAGTAAAACAGTTATTCTGACAATGAAAAAAAAGACAACTAACTGATCAGTTTGCACTGATGTTAGGGGAGAGATTCTTACTAATGTAGTGGCCTGGTTTGAGTAGCTGTGGTAATCCCTACTAACTATCCTACTTGACATATACCTGAAGACTTTGGAGCCAGAGTTGTCATACCTGGTCTTATGTTTACCGTTAAAATGAAGACAATATGAGCCAAAGTAATCAATTTCTTTTACTTGCTATAAACAGAGGGAAGGAGAAGTTGCATTTAGCTGAGTAAGAATGAATTGTATGGCAGAAGTTGATGTTAAAGGCAACTTACATACTGTAAATGAGCTGTCATTTGTAACTCTGCAGCAAACTATGGTACTCAGATGGCAGGATCTCAACTGTCTTATCCTGGTGCTTTTCCTGGGGGTCCAGCACAGCTCCCAGGTCCACAGCAGAAGAAGCTTGATCCTGACTCTATTCCAAGCCCAGTAAGTAATGTAGCACTAATTTCTTATAAAAGTAAATTTCTGCTGCATTTAAGATAAAGGAATGACAATGCTAATACTGTATTTTTAGTTGGGGGCAGGGGTGTGTATGTAACATAAAATTGCACTTACTTGCCTTGGTTCATAAGATATGTTCCAGTTTTTGCAGTTTCTTAATGACATGCAATTTTGTACTCTGGATAAATTAGTGCATAATGTTGGTTTTAGTACTGAAGAGGCTTTATAACTTTATACCCATGACTCCAAATACTTTAATAGGAATTCTTAACAGGATTCTTAGTATGACAGTGAGTGGTACGGAAGGATTACTTGCATTCACTGCAGCTAATCACCTTTCCTTTCCACTCCAGAAAGTTTGAAGGCTTAAACTTAGTAACAGATAGGCACCAAAACTAGGATTTGTGCAGGAGACAGGTATGTGAACTCTAAATCTGCAATCCTGGAAATGCTGAGAAGTCCCATGCTTAAAAGCCATCTCAGTTTGATTTTAGGAGTTTCCCAGGCAGCTAGAATTATTTGCCTAAGCATCCTTCCAGTTGCTGCAGCCTCATAAAGATTTCAGTAGCTTGTAATATACTTAATGCTTAAGCTTCATACAGGTGGAAGAGGCTCAGCTGTTGAAGCACACTCAAGCATGCCCTGGTGGGACAGCGTCTCCTCTTAGAATGGTGTTAGAAGAAGAGAAAGTAAAGTTGTGGTTGTGTCCATCTTTCTTAAAGTAGTCTAACTGTTACCCAGAGGAATAGCTAGTCAGATGCAGGCTGCATTAATATCTTTATTGAGAACAGCTAATTGAAATAGAGGGAGAAAATGTGCTGAACTCATGGAGGGAAAACACATTCTGATGCACATGCTTATACTGGTTCTGGCAATTGTCTGGAATGGTCAAAAGGTTCTTGGAGAGTTGGGATTCTTGAAGCAGATTGTGTCCTGCAGCTTTGACCTATAAATTTTTCCTTTAAAAAAAAAATATTTATTAACTACCACACTGTAAGGTAGTCTGGGTGAAGGAATCTTCCACTTCTCTGCTGAGGCAGCATTACTGTATAGGAAAGAATTTGCATTCCACTGAGATGAGGGAAAAGCATTTGTGTAAAAGCCTGACACTGTCTAGTAGGGGGCAGCCCTGCTTCCTTAAATTGGGGTACTTTGTCCTTCTGGAAGAGATTATTTCTTTTATCCAGTGATGATTTTGATGTAAAATTCCCAGAATTTTGTAAAAATATTTGTTGGTAATCACTAAAGGTTGATGTACCAACGCAGTTTTCAAATCAAGTAACTGAAAACCATTGTGTGTAAAAAAGAAAAAAAAAAAAAACAAACCACCACCCCCCCTCAAAAAAAAACAAAACTAAAAAACAAAACAAAACCAAAACAACCCCACACCCCAGAAACAAACAAAAAAGCCCCCTCAAAACAAAACAAAAACCCCTGGAGTGTCTGTATAATTAACAAATGCCCTTAATGGGTCAGTCATTCCTAGTGTTTCAGTGTGGTACTTTTTACATAAGAAAGATAAAATGGTCTTGTCTAATGTAAAAAGGGGGGGGGAGAGAGGAGGAGGTCTGACATGAAAGCATGGACTGATGTCTTGTTTCAATTACGCATGTAAACAGCCTTGACTATGACAGTTGATGTTAAAGTAGGTTAAAAGGTTTGTTTAAGCGGCACAGAGAGGATCAAAAAGGACATGTTTAAAAAGAAACATGCTCTGGGTCAACGTCTGTAAAGGGCAAAAAGCTAATTTAGAATGAGGAATAAGTATGACCATGTGTATTTCTCTTGTTATAGTTACATGATATAATTACAGTAGTCTTGCCAGATAAATTTACTTCTTATCTGTAGCCATTGCTGATTTATATTTTTCTTACATATGTTAGATGTTGATACGTTCTCTGACAACATCTATGATAACAAGCATCTGGGCTTTGTCAACAATAATTTCCAAGAACAATGATATATTTAGATCAGTTAGCTGCAGAATAGCATGGTACATTGATTCTTTGCAGAGCTAAGTCTGAAAGTGGTTTGCTTTCTTCAGCCAGTGGACCTTTTTAGAGCAAAACCTTTTTCCTTGCAATGCAAGAGTTAGCAATGACTGTACAAGCCAAAGAGGCAAGGAAAAGTAATCAAGCAGAAGATATAACAAGCTCTCTGAGGAATGTATTGTATATTTAAATTGCAATACAAAAACTTTATTGGGGGTAAAAAAGTTACAGGCCCCAGCTTACTTCCAGTGTGTTAGGAAATACCTCTTGGACAATGATCAATAGACTATGTGACTAATTTTGGTTTTCTTCTCTGTTTGCTTTTCAACAGAGGCTTCTGAACTTCCCTAGCTATTATTAGAAATTCATGTCCAGTGTAAAGATACAATTCCATGGGATACCAGCAGCAGTGGCAAAGCCAGTTTCAGAAATTCCCTGTCTTATTCCTCTTGCCTCTCACAGCTGTTTGGCTTACACCTTAAACCAGATTGCTGAAAAGACAGCTTCTCTGGGGGAAGAGGAGGAATATTGGTACCATCTCAGTGATCCAATTTATGGTGTGGAACAAAATACAGCTTTATATAACTTCAGTTGTATCCTGAAAAGTATCAAACAGGGGTGAGGGACTGTGCAGAAGTGACAGGGGAGGAAGTGTATGGAAAAGGAATTTGTTCAGTAGTAAAACCAGCTGCATTAGTGTTTCATGGCATTGTGTTGTAAATTGCTATAAACAAGGCTTCAACCAGAGTAAATCTACATGATCAGAGCTGCCTCATTTTAACAAAAATTTCTGTGATTGCTTGCTCTCCTTTACTTTCTTTCTAGGAGGAAGCTCAAAACATGGTAGTCTGACCTAGAGAATTAAAACCCTGAGCTCCAGTGTTGAAACACTGCCTAATAGCCAGCAAGGCTTCTCTCAGGAGTTTAAATTGCTGCTTTCTAAATGGCAGTGCTGAAAATATAGCTCAGCTAGGAAGGTGATCTACTATATAGATTATTGTTTATTTCTTAACCACCGTGTGCATGGAGCCTAGTCAGGAGGAATGAGAACTAACCCCTCCCATCGTTGCAGTCTGATCAATTACCCATACATACATTTTTGAAGAACAGCAGCTGGCATAACTATGGTCGTATGAAAGATAACCTGGTGTATATGGCATCTGAGCAAGGTGATGCAACCTTGCACTTCAGTTTGATCTGGGAGAATGGAATGCTAGAATCAGTAACAAAGACTTAATTTACACCATCAGTCTCCTCAATTTGCTGGCTAGCCTCTCTTGTAAAGGTCTGTCCTTCCAGCAGTCAATATACTTACTCTAAATAACTCATTTGTTCACTGTATACAGGTCTGATCCATCCCAACGTGTAGTGCTACCCCTGAGTTCCAACAGACAACTGCAGTTGTAAATGAGTTACACCACTCATCTGTATGTGTAATTTTCTAGCTGTTATGTGTCCCAGAAGCCTGTACTGTGATAGGTTTCTAGCGCCTCTGTGTTAGACAGTGTCGATAGTGTTGCTTAGTGTAGGTATTAGAATAACTTTATGAATGTAACTGAATGCATGGATTACCTTTCTCATACTGTTCATACTTCTTATTCATCAGATTCAAGTAATTGAAAATGATAAGGCTTCTAGGGGAGGGCAGATCTATGCTACAAACACAAGAGGACAGGTTCCTCCTCTTGTCACCACAGACTGCATAATCCAAGACCAAGGTAACTATCCTTGTTACTGATTTGGGAGTCTTTCTAGGTGAAATAAAATATAATTTTAAAAAAAGACTAAATTCTCAAATTTCTTATCTAAAAATTACGCTTATTACTCTAAATTGGACATGGAATGGGAAGCTTCCTTCAAATAAGGAAGAAAAAAAAAAAAGGGGGGGGGGAAGTGGGAGTTGAATTCTTACACCTCTGGTTAACGCCACCTCTGTCCTTCCTGACCTTTGTAATAATACGAATAGTGAGACAACTTTACTTTTTAACTTAAAATTTGTCAAGGTTTTACTTTTCAAGTTGAAAATTCTTTTTGAATTCTTCTGAAATTTTAAAAGATCAACACCAGAAGAAGCAATGAGACCAGCATTGTTATGCTTCAAAGATACAAATTTTTGAAAATTTTATTTAAGTGATAGGGGCAGTGTACAAGCTGTCTAGTTGACTTAATTTTTTCTTTCTGCCAGTGTATCTGCTTTTGCCTCTGCCTATAGCCTGGAAGAACAATATTCCATGTGCTGCTCTTGACATTTGATATTTTAATAGAGATTAAGCTGATGGTATCTTTTAGTCCAGCGTTGATTTATCAGTGCTTGGATAAACTGTGTGAAATGTTCAAACACATCGAGATTCTTTGGCATTATCTGAGAATGGGGTAATACAGTTCTGATGAACAAAGAAACTCCTTTCAAAAAACTGAGCAGAGCTGCAGCTTGATGATTTAAAAAGAAGCGTAAGGAAGCTGATTTCCTGAACTCCTGTTGCCTTTTAGTGCTCTTGTCTGCAGTGCACGGAATAGTTTTCTAATTGAGAGAACTGAGCTAAATGTGCTACAAAAAGTGGTCTGGTGATTTTAGCACACCAAATTTTGCAAGATGAATGAGCATGGTGATATTAACACAGATAGAGTATTTTCTGAATCAGAGCTAGCTTATTAGAGCAGTCTTAACAATAGGTATCAGTCTGCAGCATTTCTTTTATATACAGTGTTAGCATTTCCACTGGGATTTCATCCATATTATGTTCTTTTAAGATCTTAGATATGATGTGTTTCAAACTAATCTCCATTGAGATTCTTGTGAATAATTGTGGATTTTGTTCTTGATTTGTTTAAGTCTCTGCTTTAAACTCAAACAGCAAGAAAAGGTTTACTCACAGGGAGGGGCAACTGACTGACATATAAAGAGGAGAGATGGGCAGGAGCTTGCATGGGAGGAAAAAAGAGCATATCTTTAACTGAGCGTATGCATTTGTTGCTTTATGTTGTTTTGATTCTTCTGGTTTGTGTTTGGGACAGGCAGGTTCCTTCTAACAGCCTTTCATTCTGCATGCTATGTTGGGTGTTCTAGGCCACGCCAGTCCTCGTTACATCCGATGTACTACCTACTGTTTCCCGTCATCTTCAGATATGGCCAAACAGGCTCGCATACCACTGGCAGCTGTTATCCAGCCTTTTGCTATTGTACCACCGAATGAGGTAAGGATTAACTGAATATTAGTCCCATGTGGTTTTGTCTCCTAAATATTACAGATCTGTTTTTCTCTGATTGGGTTGAGGGTGTTTTACCTCTGACTGTGAAGGAGTAAGGCAGTGGAGAGATGGCAGAAAGCTATGAAATGCACTTGGGTCGTGATGCAACTTCAAGGGATAAAATGTTTATAAAAGGTACAAGAGTGACGACTCTGTAATCTGAACCACTGGGTGTTGCCCCAACTGCCTCTAGTTGATGTCAGCTTTGTCAATTGCTTGCTCTGCTGGAACTCCGCAGGTATAGGCAAAGATGTTAAAAGAGGATGACCACAAACTCTTATCAAGCTAATTTTAAGATGTGGACAGTTACATTCAAAGAATGACACTTCTTCATTAGTTCTCTACAAAGTAATTTCATTTCACAACAGAAAGAGAAGATAATGATATTTTCTACTTGGATGAACCAAAAGAAGACAAACGTTACCACCCGTTTTTGGCACTCATTTGGAGGCACTAACACAGTCAATTCCTTTTCTCACATTACTATCTCTAATAGCCCCTTCATATTCTAAGCATATCGCTAGTTCTTCTGCAGAATGTTTCTGCAGGTTGATAGTATCGTGTGGTCTTAAGATGGTTACCTAGACTTCCTGGCATGCCCAAAGGATTTTATCAGTAGCAGAGATAAAACCAGTTTTCATGTGCAGCATTTAGCTAGATCATCTGTAGGATCATCTTTCTTGTTCTTCAACTCCTGCCTCCTCCATTGCACAGCTTCTAAATTCTGCAACAGAGGTCTGCAGAATGCATTTCCTTTTGTGTGCTGCACTAATTTACTTCCAGAGCACTGTTTGCTGGGAAAAAACCCAGGGATTTCATGAAAGTTGTAGTATGTGATTGTGTCTTCAAAAACTCCTCATAAAACGCATGCAGAGTAAAGCCTAATTAAAATTGCAAAGACTTTCAGTGCTTGGTTTTGCAGTCTTTGCTTTTTTTAAACTTTGTTTTATTACTTGTAAATTCTTAGGGTTTTTTTGAAAAATATGTTGGAAAAAAACAGATGTTGTTCTTTATCAGGATGGATAACTTCCAATCCAACAGACCTCTGTAGTTTGAATTAAGACTATTATTTTAACAGGGTAGTATGTAGTTATCTTCTCTGTAGTCCACAGGGAAATAGGATGTATTACTTAGGGTTCTGCAGATACTGAGTCTCACCATTTGTCTGCTAGACAGCAATTTGGGGTTTCATTCCAGTTCTTGAGGGGAATGTGCAGACTTGGCTTGTTGCCCCCCTGCATTTTGTCCTAGATGAAATGCCTGCAGTTGCTTCTCCACCCCTTTTCTTTACCAGCCAACCTTTATTCTTTACTACCCCTTATCCTAGTTTCTGTGCCCAGGCAGCACTTAACCAATTCTACTTTTATATTGGCTCTTCATTTGTGGATCTTTCAGTCTGACTCTAGTCATTTATGTCCCCCATGCATGGTTTCCCTGTCTCCTGCACGGTGTTTGGATAGGGTGATCAGTGAGTTGCTAAAATCTGAATCTCTTGTGTGCATAAGTTAGCAGTATGTACAAACACTTGGCCAGTTCAGGAAGGTTTTCCCAGGATTGGCAAAAGGATATACTCGGTGACCCACCTGTTCTGAAGAGTTAGGGCTCTCCACAGTTGTTGGAAGGGTCAGTGCAATTCATTAATCTGTAAAGAGCAGTGTATTTTTCCCTAGCCTCTTTCTTGGAAGAGGCTAAAAAAACTCTGAAAAATGTCTCTCAAAATTGGAAAAAGTCCAGCGTGGAAAATTTTAGTCTGAACAATTAGAGCTTGGTGAAGTTATAAGAACTGAAGAGATGGTGTTACAGTAGGAAGCACTGGGCAGTCTTAGCTGAGGCAGTTTTTCCAAGGCTTGCCTGTGCCCTTTGTCTTTGCTACCGCTGCCAAAATAAGATCTAGCTCTTAAGATCTTCTAATAAAAATGGTCCTCCAGATGGGATTTATAACGACTTTAATTCTGAAAAGCCACTTAATTTGAAAGAACTGGACTTTTTATAGAGGTAAAATACATCCAGGGGCTTATTTGTGTTTCTGAATTTCCTAGTATGGTGCATTCTGCCTGGAACTAGTGACTGCAAGGCACAGAATGTTCTTTGTTTCAGAATATCTAGCTTATCTTACGGGTAGTGCCTTTTAACAACACCTACAGGTGATGCTCATCCTATGTTACAGGGCTCAGTACAAAGTGGCAGTCTGTCTAATCTCTTTATCTCTGGATAAACAGCATGTTTTGCATAGTAACTGTTTTAAATAATTATTATTTTCCTTCTAGCCTTTTAATAAATAGTTTCCCTCCGTTCGTCTCTGTTGCAGCTTCAGCTGCAGATAGATCTCTGTTTCTGATAATACTCAGTGTTAGCACCCACAGAATTTCAGTTCTGTTTCTTTTCAAAGGAGGAGGAAGAAAAGCAATGGCTACAAGGGTTTAGTGGACCATGGATGTGAAATGGCCACAAATGGTTTGTGCAGCTGGTAATATGGTTTGGAGCAACTGAGAAACTGACCTGTCTCACTTGAACTGTAAGGACTTCAGCAGATCTACACAGTATACATAATCCATAATGATGCATATTACATAAACGGTGCTTCTCTGTGTTAGTAAAGCCATACTTTAAAATTCATTCAGGTAATAGAATTATGAGTGTTCTGTAAATATAATTCTTCAATTAATTGGCATTTTTCTTTGACCCTCAACTGTAAGTCATAATCAATTTTAAATAGTTTATAAAATATACTTGCATTTTCAGTGGTCTCTTGCCACAGAATTCATGTCTGTGTTGTTTTTTCTATGTCATTATGGTATTAAGACAGTTAGAAACAAAGGAAAAGCTTTACCTTGCTCCTATTTCCAGATGATATGAGGATTCAGTGCAGTCTTCAGATGGCTTGTCCTTCCTTACTGGAAGCCAATCCTGAGTGTGGATTTTGATTCATTGAGTGGATTGTGTTTTGCATTGATGAAACATCATGTTCTGTCCAACTGACCTAAATGATACCAAGAGAACTGTGGATCCTGTTTTCTCCTATCCATGCTTTGTTTGACCCTGTGTAATCTGAACTGCAGCAAAAATTTAGTAAAAAAGCAGTGAAATAATTAAGTCACTAATTCAGTTAGTGGCACTGATAGAATTAGATATTCTTCATCTAAAGTGGCTGCATAGGAGGAGTAGGGAAAGGTAATTGGGGTCCTGGAGTTGACAGAGATGGGTGTGTAATGGAGATGATAGGCATCACTTTGCTGTCAAATCTGTTCTCTTCTTGTTACTCATTGACAAAGGAGATCCTATGAGAAATTCTGTTTGGAGTTTACTATAGCTTTTGCAGGCTATAACAGTGTTTTGTTCTGCCAGATATTTCTTCATTTATCTTTCCTTTCAGAGTTTACTCTGAAGAATCAATAGTGCTCCAGCTGACAGAGCCTGGAACACTCCCTGAAGTTTTGGAATTAATGCCTGTAATGAATTTTAAAACCCCAAGCTGTTAATAGCATTGATAGAAACAGTAGTCAACTGGAAATTGAGCTTTGAAGATTTGTTTTCTTTGACTAAGAACACAGAGATGGAGATAAAAGATCCTGGGAGCTTTCAAATAAAGAGTGTGGGTCTAGTGACTTTACAGTAGTTTTCTCAGAAATACTCTTCAGGTTTGGAGATCCAACCTGGAAAAAGAGAATTTGGGATTTCAGCATGTGTGAAAGGTGGGTGTAAGTTCATTAGTCATTGTGGGTTCTTTGGGGGAAAGTGGAGTGTCCACACAGGGGCTCCAAAAAGCAAAGTGGGAATGTTAGTGTACAAAGTGAATAATTTTTTTAATTAAGAGAAAAAACTGTCAGGAGCTTAGAAATACACAGACTTGAACAGGGACATCTTTTGAAGACATGTACAACATATATCTCCATTTTGAGTAAAGAATGAGATACAAGGAGAAAATAAAATCACAAAGTTAAATCATTGTGGTGCTAGGTAAGGATGTTAAATGAAAAGATCTCATGCATGTCTTCGAGTAAGTTTAATGTGGGAGGGTGGGGGACCCCAAAATAAACATGGTTTGCCCCTGCAGTAAGAAAGAACAGATTCAAAATTACAGAAATATAATGGAGTGAAAAGACAAAGATGCTGTTGCTTTATACCATGCTAAGAAGTCCCCAGGTAGTCAAGACCTGGTGGAGTAATACTGTATCTGAGAAGTTTGATAACATCTAGAAGTTTAGTGGAAATTCTGAGTTGAGAGGACACAAGGCCATCATAAGTGAATACAAAGCAAGACAAAAATATACCTATACCAGTAGGCTGCAGTATCAGTCTTCACATCAAGAGAGGAAAGTTCAACTCCGCAGCAATGTATAGTTGAAAGAGTAAGAACAATCTTATGCAGCTTAATAGCAGCATTTCAGGTGTTCACAGGTAACCTGGTAAAACTGCACAATGAAAACATTCTAGAGAAGTCATTATCAAAATTTAAATAGTAAAACTGGCTACGCTGAAGAAAATTTCACAAAGGAGGCTTTACTTCATAAGTAGAGACCGTTCAATAGAGATCATTTAGGATTGTGTTTGATATCCCAGGAGCAGCTAAGTTAGCAACCCTTGACATTATAGGCACTGAGCTCCAGAAGAGCAGAGCAAGTGAAATGGCTTTATTCTGAAAAGCCTTCAAGTTGAAAGTTAAAGGGCACACAGTCTCTCAAAGGTTACTAAAAAAAGCCTACAGCCAGTCTAGAAAATTATAAACTAAGAAGTCAGCCACCAGAAATCTTTCTGTAAACTATAAACAACATTACATGTATGCTATATATCATTCTAAACAAAGACTGTTGAAACATTCATGCCTTACCCACTTGCTGCCCAGTGTCTTAACAACTCTAGATGTTTCTGAATCTTATCTTTACCAAGTCCTTATTTATTATTTCTCAGAAATAACAGTTAATTTTCACTCTCCTGATTTGGATGAT